TTTGCAGAGGATCAGAGCAAGATTTGGGTGCCCTTTCCATCCCACTGAAATTTATACTGAAACTGATGTATTTTTTTCACCTTTTTTACATAGGAAGCTAATGTTCTGACTACAATCATACTTCAAAGCATTGTGTAGATGAATTTTAACATGAAGGTTGGGTGACAGTCCTTATACTGAATCCAAGGCTCCTTTAGTTTTATAGCATATAAAATCTCTGTATTCTCTATTTTAAGTTGGAGCCATTCACTGTCTAAGAATTCCAGATGTAGCTTTAAAGCAGTGTTTTCTAGCTTTCAGTGTAGTTCCTTCCCCCCTCAACTTCAAAATTATATCAAGATGAGGTTTCTAGGGCAAACAGCTCTGGAAATGTTGGAAGGCACGATTCTGATTCATGCACATATATACCCTTTCATAAAGAAAAAAAAAAAAAGTGATTTTAATAAAGACTAAATAACGAAAAGAGATACAGGTTAAAAAAAAAATCCTAATACCACAAGAGCAGACACAGACCTTGCAGGAGACACAAAGAAAACCCTTCAATGGACACTTCAAAAGCCTAGTAAAAATCCAGCTATATTCATAATCAGAAAGGTTTTTCTGAAATGAAAAGGCAAACTTAAAAGAAGCCCTGCTATTCCAGCCCTCGGGCTTTCTTCAAGGTAAAACACCACAACTGAGCAGAGACCCCAGCAGTCTTCCTTTCAAACACCTGTTTGGCTGCTGGCAAGGAACTCTCATGTACAACGAATTGGCCATTGAAGGCTTTAAAGCAATTTAAAGCCTGGCAATTTAGCTTCTCAGCTCCATCTTGTAAAAACTATAAATGTAAAAAAAAAAAAAAAACCACCCACCTAGTGTCACTCATCTCTTCAACAGGATCTAACTCAGGAGGTAAACTTGGTAAGCAAGTGTTTGAGACCAATTTTCATAAAGAACAATAAAATACTAATTCTGAGCTATCAGTTGCTTTCATTCTAGCATTTAATTTGGCCAACTCACTCTAAGATGAAGTCTCTATTATTCTGTGGATAGTGGTGAAAGATTTTGTGTCAGATTTGAGGAGTAGAATGCCACTCCCACTTATTTCTGACTAGTGTTCAGGCACCACAGTAAATCCCATTCCTACAGATGACAAACAGTCATGCATGCAAAGTTAAATGAAGATGCAGTTTCCACCTTATTTTTTCCTGTGGATTCTCCTGTATTAAGTGAAGGAAGGGTTTTCCCTTTCCATGTCTTTGGAGATATGGCAGAGATGCAGTAAACTTACCTTGTGACTTGCAGTGAAGCAGAAACAAGGACTAGCACAAAAGCTTAAAGGTTCATGACCAGAGATACAAGGGATGCTGCGTACATAAATACTGGAAGTGACACACACACACACTTGCTTTTGAAGCTCTCAGTGTTGACAGGAAGAGAGAGCAATACATTGTTTAGCACATTTAATCTGTCAGGAATGAAAAAGGATCTGGACAACTCTTAGTATTTGGTCAGGATGCTCAAAGTAACCTTTATTCTTTTTATATCATTGAAAGGCAATAAGATTAGCCCTCTGCGAGACCCACCTGTGGAACTTTTTGAAATTAAGGAAATATGAAATGCAAGGGAGGTCCAAACTCAAGCCAGTTACAGTATTAGCTACACAGTTTATGGTAGACCTGCCCAGGGAGGTGGTTGAGGCCCCATCCCTGGGGGTCTTTAAGGCCAGGCTGGATGAGGCTCTGGGCAGCCTGATCTAGTGGGAGGTGTCCCTGCTCATGGCAGAGGGGTTGGAACTGGGTGATCCCTGTGGTCCCTTCCAACCCTGACAGATTCTGATCTGTTTTAGCAGAGGACTTTAGAGCCCTAATGGCTCAATGGTTGGACTAGACGATCTTGGAGGTCCCTTCCAACCTAAAGGATTCTATGATTCTATGATTCTATTTCCAGACAACCCATTGAGACAAAACATCTACTCACTTCTTTCCCCTCCTGACTTCTACTGAATTACTCCAGAAGTAGAAGCTTGGTTAGCCCCAAACTGGATCTAAAACAATCTCTGACCTAGTCTTCATTTTGCATTTTGCATCTCTCACGTATTATTGAGTTGTTAGTGCTCAGAACACCTATTGGAAGAAAAAGGTCAGACAGAAGTCATCATCCTCAGCTTTCATCTACTATTTTTCCATGACAACCTGTACATTGTTATCCTGAATATTCACATTAACCAAAAACAAGCATACATCACATGTCCAATACATCAGAATGATCGGGTTGAAGTGAACAACCATCCTGAGACTGTATAAAAGACACAGAATAATAGCCATAAATTATCTTGTAAATAGTAGCAACTGAAGAACCATTTATAACATAGGTAAATGTAGAGGCAGAAGGGTGAGGCGGTGGGAACCTTTTTTATTTTTCATCCTAATGAACAGAGTAAAACTCCTCTTGAACATTAAAGAAAAGTGACCTTTAGGAAAAGGACATACTTGGAAGTTTCATTTTGCCGTTTTCATAGGAAAGACACACACCTATGTAACTGCTTAAATTTGTGATTCACGTATATATCAGTATTTTTTCCAATAACAACAAAAAGTGTTGCTTTAGGAACTGAAGAAGTGAGACAACGGAGCTTTTTACTTTCCTGGAAAGTTAGGTCCTGCTTGTTCTCATATCCACCACATGGTTCAAGAGTATTATTACTTTTGGATGGCATTTTCCTGAGGTCATTGCTCTTTGGTAACAGAGCAGGTGCCGAAAGACAGGTATTGGGTGCAGCAACCCCATTAGTCCTGTTGCTGCCCCCTGGAAGACACTCAACTCTTGTCTCAGAAGAGCCTCAGATGCCATAGCCCCCTTAATGAATAGAACGAATCTACTGTTAAAACCAGGACATGTTAGGACTAGCCAGCTGACAAAGCTACCCACCGAGATAAAGCAGAGAAAAGCTAGAGAAGGAGAGAGGCTGGCAAAATAATAATTTCTGGAGTAACACTTTCCTATAAGTACAGCTTCCTTAAATAAAGGAACTGCAGACAAGAGGAAAAATTTGAACTCTACAGTGAAAACTCGTATGATACAGAAAAGCATTGTTGTACAGAGCACGTTCAGCCCCAAAAATTGACCAGATGCTCCTGTTCTTAATCAGCATCATGCTGGGAATGCTGTGGCTGTTGGCTTAATGTTAGAATAAACCTGAAAGCTTCTTTAATACAGTCTTGCAAGGATTGCTTTCCAGAAGCACTGTAACAACAGGGCCTCAGCATCAAACCAGCTAAGTATGAAAACTAGATCTGCTTGTTATCACTGTATTAATTTGCTTGAAGGCATTCC